AATTTGCACCCCTCCCCCCCACTGGGTTAGTGTCAGATTTCTCTGTAGTGATCCTTTGTGATTACTGAGGCCAGGGAGCCAGAAACAAAACCCGGACTTGTTGGTGCGTTGGACGGCAAACATACTGTCATGGGAGGACTGGCTCAATGAAACAGACTCACAAAATCCCCAGCAGGAAGGGACTAGGTTCCCCTCCAACCAACTTTTAGAAAACATCGGAAGCCAAATCTCTCCTTCGACCCCAGGTGGTCCCAAAAGAAAAGCTGCTTCTAAGGCGAGCCGCAGCAACCAGTCCTGGGGAGCAAGTCAGGCCATCAGATCCACAAAGATGGCATTGGCAGTGGTTTGTCCAAAGATGAAGGCTCCAAGCGTGACCATAAACGTCCCATAGCCAACCAGTGCCCACCAACTGCGAATAAAGAATACAGAGCCGTGCGCAACGTTAGCCTTGACACTGCGCCTTGCTGTTCCCACCAGCGAGATTAAAAAACACTGGAGAGAGATTAAAAAGACTGGGACTTTTCATCTTAGAAAAGAGGAGACTAAAGTGGGGGATAGGATAGAGGTCTATAAAATCATGACCGGTGTGGAGAAAGTGAATAAGGAGAAATTATTTACTTATTCCCACAATATAAGAACTAGGGATCACCAAATGAAATGAATAGGTAGCAGGTTTAAAACAAACAACATTTTTTCCTTCACTCAGCACACAGTTAACCTGTGGAACTCCTTGCCAGAGGATGCGGTGAAGGTTAAATCTTTAACAGAGTTCAAAAAAGAGCTAGATAGATTCATGGAGGTTAGGTCCGTCAATGGCTATTAGCCAGGATGAGTAGGAATGGTGTCCCTAACCTCTGTTTCTCTGGAGGTGGGTGACAGGGATGAGGATTACCTGTTGTGATCCCTCCCCTCTAGGGCTTTTGGTATTTGCCACTGTCGGAAGACAGGACTCTGGGCTAGATGCACCTTTGGCCTGACCCAATCTGGCCGTTCTTATGTTCTTAACCAGGGCCCGAAGCTTGCAAAAAGGGAGGAAGGCAAATTTGTTACCTGGATGGCCTGCTTTCCGGGATTTCCGAAAGTTTGGCTTGAATCAGGCAGAGTCCTAGAGGGGAGGGAATACAAGTAACACTGAGCATCTGACTCATCCTAGTAATGGGCAGTGAGAGATTCCTGAGCAGAGATTAAACTGCCACACCCGGAAGGCAGAGGAGTCAGGAATTTCAGACACACCGGCTTTGTTATGGAGATAAGCCAGCCCCCCAGCCTCCAAGAGCTGCCCTATCAGCATTGCTAATCCATTGACTAACACAGGGGTGGGGGAATCTGGAGGGGGGCGCTTGCCTGGATCCGGCCCCCGAGGCTCAGGGCCCCCCCAGTAGGGCTAGAGCACACAAAAATCTACTAAGTTGGGCACCACTAGGCTCTGGTGTGTGAGGGAACTGTGGGGAATCTCTCTCCTCAATAGGAGCCACCTCAGCAAGGGGTGTGTGGCCCTGACCCAAAAAAGGTTCCTCAGCCCTGGACTAACAAGATGGAGGAATTCCCTCTACACCCCCCTTAAGCCCACTGCCCCCTCTACACCCCCCTTAAGCCCACTGCCTCTCCTAGCCAGGAGCAGGGAAGGCCCAGGAACAAAGAGCCCAGAATAAGAAAACAGGATTCCTGTGGCAGGAGACAGTGAAGGGATTCCGCCAGGCCAGGCCCTGGGTCCATTTTACTGTCTTCTCCAGGGGACTAGGGAGGGAAGGGCTCCAGCCTTATAGAAAAAGTGC